AGAGTTTCACTATGTTGCCCTTGGTAGAGTGGCATCACAGCTCACAGCAACCTCAAACTCTTGGGCTTAAGCTATTCTCTTAACTCAGCCACTCAAGTAGCCAAAACTACAGGCATCTGCCACAACACCCTGCTATTTTTTTGCTGTTGTCATTGTTGTTTAGCAGGTCTGGTGTATGTGGCCAGCACCCTAACCACTGAGCATGGGCGCCGAGCCATCACTGTTGTACTTTGGAAGCCCACGCACATTTGATTTCACAGGTTCACAGTTGGAGGAGAATTTGCCTCAGGATGAATTACACCTTAAATCTCACCTAGATTTGATTTAGATGATCTTCAGATGAAACTCTGAACTTTAAATTTTTGAGATGATGCTGAGAAAGTTAAGACTTTGGGGGCTACTGGGATGAAATGAATATATTTTGCATGTGAGAAGAACATGAATTCTGTGGGTGCAGGGGGGGAATGCAGTGGACTCAAATGTTTGTGACCACCCAAAATTCACATGATGAAAATCACCAATGTGATATCAGGAGTTAGGGCCTTCAGAAGTGGAGGACAGCTCTCAGGAATGGGTTCGGTGCCCTTATAAAAGGCCCCAGGGAGCTGCCTTGCCTCTCCAAATATATGAGGATATAGCAGGAAGGTGCCATGTGTGACCCAGGAAATGGGCCCTCACCAGTCTGAAACTGCCAGCACCTTGAACTTCCCAGCCTCCAGAACTGAGAAATTTCTGTTTTTCGTAAGCTATGCCATCTATGGTATTTTATTATAGCTGCCTGAACAAACTAAGATATGTATCATGTACTGTGTTTTAAGGTATTGTCATCCTCAGGTCTAATTATATTGCAGGTAAAGGCAGTCCTATGGGTTTTTTTTGGTGGGGGGGAGAGGGAATATAATTTATATTGTATCTTATAGATGAAAGGTATGCAATAGATTTCTCTTTCAATGGATTGATTATATCTTGTGACAGACTTTAGTAACACATACAACTAAGCCAGTAGAAAAACACCACAACATGCACATGTATTAGATGTGATTTATGAAGGGTGAAAAGCCTGGAAATTACACGGCAGCTAGACTGTGAGCGCACACAAATAAAACCAGCCGTCGGCAGGGCTATAAATTATCTACCACTTACCGTACAAACACGGTCATTTCAGCTCTGTCTTCAATGAAGACATCTGACTCTGAGGGCCTGGGCGGATCAAATTGCAGCTCAGAGGGGATATACAGAGAAACGGTAATGGTAGGCTCGCTGAAAGGACCTGAACCCGGTTCCACGTAGCTTGTCACCGGAGCTGTCACCTTTATTTTCATCTCTGTACCATAAAAACGAAAGCAAATTCAGTGTACTTACGACTGCATTTAAAAATTTAACCTATTCTTTTTTGATCTGAGTCTGTGGATTTACTTCACACTATTGACATACATATTTACCTTTAATTTTCACCTCAAAAAATATGGCTACAATTACTCAATTATTCACTGCCCACTTTAAACACCTTCTGTACTAGTAATATTTTTTATTAGTAAACTCTACATTTTTAGAAGGAGAAATGAGACAGTACATGGTCCACTCAATTCTTTTTTCTTTACAATTCAGAAAATGAGGTTCCACAGGCTAAGAAACCTGCTAAAATATAAGCAGTGGCAAAGCCAGAACCAGAAGTTATGATATGAGACCCCTAATCTTGTACCTTCCTGCCTCCTGATGTCTCTGACCCTCCCTGTCGCCAAATTATTAATAGTTTGCATCATTAGCCATGGAAAAGGACTTATCCCTAGTTATACTGAGCCCCAGTTCATCCAGCAAAACCAGAGATGGAAAAGTACCACCCCAAGGTCACCCTCTTCCAGCCAATGGTAAGGGTCCCAAAAAGAGTCCTTGTCTGAAAATATTAAGTATTTGATGATGCGGTTATTTTTCTATTACAGGGCTGGCCTCTGGCATATGGGGCCGGCACCCTTCTCCTTTGAGCCACAGGCGCCGCCCACAAAGAATATTTCTTTAACAAGCTAAAACACAATAATAAGCCCGGGGGTACAATCACAATGTAAGTATTCACAAGGAAAAGCGCCTTTACCCTTCTCATTTTTGCCTTGGATGTAGTCGCTCAGTTTTGCAAAGCCAGTCTGGATGGCTGAATCCCAGTCCATAGACTCAACGGAAGTGCTGACCCACTTGGCTGGTCCATAGCGTCGGATCTCATAATTTTCAGGCTAAAATGGAGCACGTAAGACGTGGAGAAGAAGCAATTTTAAGAGGGCAAGGCGAGAAATACAACTACACCGGTGCCCTGATGTCGGCTGGACAGTCTAGGGGCTGCTCCACGCCCCACCCCCTACGCACGTCCCTGGGCCTCCTTTTCTGGGATTAGGAGCTGCAGAGGCCCTAGCCCCCCACGACTCAAGACAAGACTCAAGTCACATTAAAGACACAACAAAAACAAGCATCGGTTCTTGCCCGCACTTCGGGGGGAGGGCTAAAGACAGAATTTTTCTGTCTACGCAAGTTGGGGGTGGAGGCTGGGACAATTTAAGAAACTGTACATTTTACTTAACTCTACGGGAACCGCCGATCTCACTATAAATCAGCCCGAGGGCGGCCCCGCTCTCCCGGCCTGCAGGGCAGGGTCCCCAGTGCCTGTGCTCGGCACCTACCTGGCCCGCCTCCTCCGGGGTTTTCCAGCCCGGCGTCTCCACCGCTTGGGCCGCCGCGCCCTCGGCCGCCCCGGGGTCTGGCTGGAGCACCTCGGCCATGGGCGGCGCCGACGCTGCGGGAGCCTGGCCAGCTGCGCCGCGAAGGGCTCGCACCTGGGGCCACTAGGCCCGCAGAGGTCCCGAAGTCTCCGCCCCGCGGACGCGCGTCCCTCCTCCCCGGGACACGCCTGGCTCCGGACCGCGAGGAGACGCTGTGATCAAGACAGGGCCCCGCCCCCGGCCGGCAGCTCGGTTGGGGACAGGGGACGGAGCCCTGAGACGCGACTGCAGTGTCCTCCTTGGCCGGCTTTCTTTAGAGGATTCCTTGCCCTTGCCCTTGTTTGGAGGCGAATGGGGCTCAGTTTGCACCGTGGGGCCCCGGGGCGCGGGTCCTGTGCAACCGGTTCGGGCGTCCGGTCCCGCGGCCCCGCCCACGATGGGAGCCGCTCTGCAGACTCAGCAGCGCGGGCTGTGTCGCCCTCCGGGGTGTCGCCCGGGAGTCGGGGAGGGGCGCGCCTGTTGACTCTCACCGTGGCCACCCCGCCGCTCCTATGGGCCGAACCAGGGCAAGGGGTCCTACTCACACCCGGAACGTGGCCTAAGTTCCCAACAGCTTTCGATTGGGGCCACAGAGAATCTTGAATTGTCCGGGTTTTTTTTTGTTTGTTTGTTTTGAGACAGTATCTCACCTTGTGGCCCAGGCTAGAGTGCCTTGGCGTCAGCCTACCTCAAAGCAACCTCAAACTCGTGGGCTTGAGCCATCCTCCTGCCTCAGCTTCCTGGTTAGGTGTGACTACAGGCGCCTGCCACGACGCCAGGCTAGTTTTTCTATTTTTAGTAGAGACGGGTTTCACTCTTGCTCACACTGGTCTCGAACTCCTGAGCTTAAGCGAACCCTCCGCCTCGGCCTCCCAGGGTGCTAGGATTAGCACCCGCGGCACTTGGGACTGTCTAGGTTTCTTGACTTTCCCCCACCCCCGAAATGACCCCAAACCCTGTGAGTCATCCCATCTGCCCTAACAGGTGTGTGTGTGTGGGGGGGGGGGTGTCTCTGAGGCCACATCCTAGTGCTTATTAAAAATCTTAGTTTGATGTATTCTTTATTTTGTCCAAGAGCTTTATCAATTCACACACCGTGCGATTCACCCATTTAAAGTGTACTAGTCAATGGTTTTTAGTATATAGAGTTGATTTTAGAACATTTTTCATCACTCTTCTCCTTAGAGACACCCTGTACCCTTTAGCCACCAGTCCCCAGTTCTACGTCCTCCCCCCTCCCTCCCAATTACTCATTTGCTATCTGCCTGGGATTGCGTGTTCTGGACATGTTCCCAAAGTGGTCCTTTGTGACTGGTTTCTTCACTTAACAAAAGGTTTTCAATGTTGTCGTATTATCAGTACTCCATTCCTTTTTATGGCTGATTAATAGAGCATTAGCTAACCATTTTATTTATCCATTCAGCAGCTGAGGGACATTTGGATTGTTGCAAACTTTTGACTGTTGAAAAGAATGTTTCTATAGGCCAGGTGCGGTGGCTGACACCTGTAATCCTGCACTCTGGGATGTCCAGGTGGGTAGATTGCTTGAGCGCAGGAGTTCAAGCCCAGCCTGAGCAAGAGTGAGACATGCCCCCACCCCAAAGCTGGCCAGGCCTTGTGGCAGGCACTACTCCCAAGGCTGAGGCAAAAGGATCAATGGAGCCCACAAGTATGAGATTGCTATGAGCTATGTCTACCAAGGGTGACAAAGTGAGACTGTTTCAAAATACATGAAATAGTGCTTCCATAAACGTTTGTGTACGCGTTCCTGTGTGGATGTATGTTTTCATTTCTCTGGGGTGCAGAATGAAGAGGAAGTGCTGGGGGCAACGGGCAACTCTAACTTACTGAGGAACTGCCAGGTTGTTTTTTTCAGTTTTACTTTCTCACCAGCAGGGGCTAAGCATTCAATTTCTCCTCCTCCATAGCAAGACTTGTTATTACCTGGCTTTTGTATTATAATCATCCTAGTGGGGGTGTTCTAAGGTTTGAATGTTTGTCCCTCCAAAACTGATATTGATGCTCTGCATCTCAGTGGCTAGTTCAGTGGCTAGGGCACCAGCCACATACACTGGAGTTGGCAGGTTTGAATCCAGCCCAGGCCTGCCAACCAACAATGACAACTACAACAAAAAAATAGCTGGGCGTTGTGGCAGGTGCCTGTAGTCCCAGCTA